CTTTCTAGTCTCCTGGGCGCTGCCGCTTGCGCGAGCCGCGCCAGAACGTCTGCTGCACCTCCTCGGCATCGGCCGCCGACTCGACGGCCATGGCCTCGACGGCCTTGGCCTCGACGGCCTTGGCCTCGGGCAGTGGCGGGGCGGCGGCAGCGGGGGCGCTGGAGGCTGACGTGGCCGCCGTGACCGATTTCTCCCGAACAAGTGGGGACAAGCGCCGAATGCGTCGTGTCGCCGAAGACCCTGCGAGCCGAAACACCGACAAAGCAGCGGGGGAGGTCGGTAGCCGTCGGTGGCCGTGGGCTCATCGCCCAACAAGAGTAGGTAGTGCACATGTATGGGCTCATCATCCTCATCCCCCCCCTGCTCCTCCTCATCCTCCTCGTCCTCCCTCCCTCCAGCCTCATCCTCATCCCCCTCCTCCCCTTCGACGACCTGGGCGAAAGGCAATTCTTCGACGCCGAGGAGGGTGGCCCGCCTGGCGAGCCTTGGCAGGAGGGCCAAGACGCTACCCCCAGAGTGGAACTGGCACCGTCGGTGGAATTGGCGCCGTCGGTGGAACTCCCTATGGGGCCACGAAGCGTGTGAAGGGTGTGCCGAAATGGGTGCGGGACCGCATGCGAACTGCGCCACTGGGACCTTCGGTGGAGCTCCCTATGGGGCCACGAAGCGTGTGAGAGGTGTGCCGGCATGGGTGGCGCGTTTCGGGGCCCCCCTGGCCCTCTGGGGCCCATCGGGAGCGTTTTCTTTTCGGGGTGGAGCAGAGGAGTGGAGGGGGCGGAGGAAGGGCGGTGATGATGGTGACAATGTTGGCTGGCGATGGCGATGACCTTTCTCGCTTCGAGGCCCCGCGCCACGGGCACATGTTGCAATATCATACACTGGAGAGTAAACCCTGCAACCGATTGCAGAACAAAGCCACCGCGTCGAGCGGCTCAACTGACCTTGTCCTTCCTGTCCCGCATCAGCTCGGCGACAGCATTTGAAGACGCTGGGATCTCATCGGGGCCGCTAGTCGGGAAGGGGATGCACGCCGGCTCGTCAACCGAGAAGGTGGTCTGGGCAGCTGAGCCCAGCGGATTTCCACCAGTCACTGTCAACCAATTCGAGATGATGGGGTTGCATATTGAAGTCGCCGTGCCTCCCAAGGAGCTGTCGGGCACGTCCCACCTGTCGAACCGAGGCGTGTAGTCGTCTTTCTTTTGCCAGTAATCGAAAGCACCCATGAGCACGCCGACCAAGCCATCTCGAAATCCAGGCGGGCGAACAGGTGCAGCGCCGCGAAACCCGCGCTTCTCGACGAGCAGCCAAGTGAGCGCGAGGCCGAACTCGGGCACGCCTTCGCCGCGCGGCCCGACGATCTGGAGCATCCTCTGAGCACCTTTCTTCCTTGACCGAGCTTTCGCCGAGCACAGGGTGAGGTCGGAGATCGCTCGCCTGTCCGCGGCGTCGATGGCCCCGCTGGCTAGCGGCACCTGGGGGAAGAACTTGGACGGGTCATGGCGGTGCACGTGGACGGTCGGGCGCGGTGCATCCACGCGTCCCGTTGTTGCAACGGGCTCCACCATCACCACTTGAGAGAATGGCTACGGAAAGCGCTTCGCGCACATCGGCAGAGCTGTCTGCACGCAAAGGCGGCGGGAGACGTCGCGGTTGAGTCAGGGGGGGGGGGGGCTCACGAGGGTTGAGGCAGAGATGGGGGCCCTTAAAGGTGAGCGAGGCCCCCCGTCGTAACATGACGCAAGTGTGATCAACTGTTGTTTTCGACCCTGCAAGTTTTCAGCGGGCGCGCTTCCGCTGACGATCCGCGCGCACTCATCGCACTCGAAGCCCAGGCAACGATGGGAAAATCGGCTCCACGAGATTACCACGCTGAAAATATTTCACGTTCCACACGGTGGCGTTCGCCGCGCACGTTTTAAACCGCCCTGAAAAAGCAAAGCGCGCGTCGTCCACTCGGTCCAGGATCCTCACCACCAAAAAGCACGCCAGGACATGGGACGCCCTGCTGGCGCACTGAACGCACAGGATGACTTGGCCCACAATGTGATCGGCGCCAGTGTGCACGACCACCAGGTCAGACTTGGATATGATACCAATGGTGGTATGCACACGTGATGACGCCGAGAGCGCGCCCGGCACAATCTCACCCACGACGTCGAGCAACGCCTCTCGGAGCCACGCGGCTGCGACGGGCTGGGGTCTGTGGAGGTATTCGGGGACGCCCTCGTACTCATCTTCGTGGAACATGTCGGCCAGGCATCTGCGCACGACCACCTCGTCCCAGCCAGATCCCCGCCCATAGCTGGCCACTGTCTTTGCTATCTGGTGTCTGCGCTCCATTGCGAAGCAGCTCAAAACAGCTCCCCAACGTGCGATAGACGACGGAACGTGAACTTGATAATGAAATGTTGGCTTCACCATTTCAATGTCGTATGCCCTCAAAAACCATTCTTGGTGAACGTCTATATGGCGAGTCAGCTCGTTTACCATCCCGACGGCCCTGTCGCCTGACATGCAAATGTCCAGCACCGCAAACAAGTGCTCGAAAGACTTGACGCACTCTGGGAAGGCATCTGACGGCTTGACAACTGTCACTGTGCATGCGTACAGAGCATGTGTAGCAGCCAATGTTGTATTTGCGAAACCTGTGGTGTGCTTCTTACTGTCACCAACAACGTGCTCTTTGAAATAATGCCTGGGTAGCTTACCCGATCCCCGAGGGTACTGCGACGTGCTGCAATAATCGTCGATGGCGTCCCTCGTCACACCAGCGGCCTCTAACTTCAGTGCGAACAAGTTAATATCATAAGAACAAGCCCCACCAGATGCGAGTGAATTGTGCATCAAAAATGTATGCTCTACAGACCGAATGTGGGCGCGATGTTGCACGTCCAGAAGCAAGGACCCTGGATCGTAAGTTATTCCGTGCGCCTTTTCCAACCTCTCGAACTCAGCAGTGGTGACTACGCCGACCTTGGCGGCGAGGTCGTCTACCATCTCCCACATCTGCTCGCTGGTCTGCGGCAGGATGTACTTGGAACTGGCCCTCTTGTAACGCACGAGCCCATCGTCCAGATCAGGCCGATGCCTGTCGGTGGCGATGACGTTGCGGCAGCAGTGGCATATCCTCATGCCCGCGCTGCCTTTGGCCCCCCAAAGGTACTCATGAGCCCGCTCGTCCTGCACCATTGGGCCCATCTCTAACATGATGCCATAGGTCCCCAGCGGGCCGTCGACGGTCAAAACTGGCTTCGAGAAAAACATTCTGAACACTACCTTCATTGGGCCCGACAAACCACCAGCAGCTTCTTTTTGACCAGCTGTCCGAAGCACCGAGAGGACCACCCATCCATTTCGCCTAGATCTGCACCAGCTCGGGAGCTGAAGGAATGAACAACAGACCGCCTGCATTTCTCTGGACGTGTCGGTCGCAGGCCTCAGGGCGCTCCCTGGTGTCGTAGCGTCCGCATACGCGAGGAGGGTCAACTTCTGGGCGCCGCCGCAGCAGGCATCGTGCAGAATCTGTCGAAACCTGTGAGATCGGCGACACCGCTCGTATACGAGCGCGTGGGGGAGGAGGAGGAGGAGGAGGAGGAGGAGGAGGAGGAGGAGGAGGAGGAGGAGGAGGAGGAGCCATTGCATCCCTCTCGGGTTCCCTGTTTCGAGCTCGATGTACTGCAGAGGCTTCCCACGGGGGGGGGGGGACATCGAGGTTCGCCCGCACTCCTCGTTTCGGAGCAGACGCAGAAGGGCCTTGGTCGTCGCCGCCACCATCATCGTGCAGCTCGCGGGACAACGCCAATGCTTCAGAAAGAGAAAGATGGCAGCCAAAACAAAAAAATGCTTCAGAAAGAGAAATATTCACATGCTTGCCAACAATCTCTGCGAGCCTACGCTTGTCTGGGCGGTGCAGAACCATATGGCATGAGCAAACACGTTGCCGGCGCCGAGACGTCTGGAGCTACGGAGGCGCGAGGTATTTCAAAGCTAATTCTAAGTTAATCTAAAGTTAATCAGAAGTTGATCTTCTGTTAAAATGAAAGCAATGTCATTGTTATTGGTTGTACAATCATTAAGACAATCATAGTGTAACGCGCTGAATCCATTACTATCAATGGAATGCAATTCTAATCCTTCGCTCAAATGAATTCGATTAGAAATGTTCCAATCACTATAAACAACTATAACATATATTGATATGAATTGGCATCCTTTACAAGCACAATTAGACTCCGCCCAAACCAACGGCCCAACAAGTAGGGGAACAAAAAGTGACACGAGCACAAAAAAATCGGAGGTCCGCGCGGATTTCTCGGATCGGCGCTGGACCCCCCTCCCTGGCGCGCTCCGCGCGCCCGCGGCGGAGCCGGAGGCGCCGCCGGGGGGCCCCACCGCCGATCCGAGAAATCCGCGCGAACCTCGGATTTCAAAAAGGGATTGCAAAACAAAAAACGAATGATTGCAAAAAAGGATTGCGCAAAAAAAAACCCTGCACTCCTTGTTTGCAATCCGAAGGTTTTTTTTTTGCAATCCTGCAATCCTTCAGTTTTCAATGTTTATGCCACTTTTTGTCCCCCTGTCGTCACCGGCGGCGGCTTCCGAGGCGGCCTCTGGCAGTGCGAGGCGCCCGTCGGCCGGGGGGGCCGGCTGCCGAGCTGGTCCGACGCACTCTGGCCCTTCCTGGTGGTCCCGACGTTGGCGCTGGCAGGCATGGCGCCCACCGCCGATCCGAGAAATCCGCGCGAACCTCGGATTTCAAAAAGGGATTGCAAAAAAAAACGAATGATTGCAAAAAAGGATTGCAAAAAAAAAAACCCTGCACTCCTTGTTTGCAATCCGAAGGGTTTTTTTTTGCAATCCTGCAATCCTTCAGTTTTCAATGTTTATGCCACTTTTTGTCCCCCTGTCGTCACCGGCGGCAAAACGCGCTGGGGCGTATTTACAGATGCTTTGTCGGAGGACGCCTACATCGGTTCGCGGTGACGTACATCGGCTGCTCGATGCACCCGCAGCCGCGCATCCCAGATTTCATGTTCTGGGTCAACGCCCTGCAGATCGCATTCTCCATGGCCGAGGTGGCGATCTTCGTGTCCGACACGTACGTGCGGGCGCCGCAGGCGGTGCTGCTGAGGCTCGTGGAAGCTCTGGGTGGCGCTTACTGTGCATTCCACGCCCTGGTCCGAGGAGTTCAGAACGAATTCAAGCTCCCGCGCATGTTTGGTGTCTGGGCGATCGTGGATGTCCTGACGGTGCCTCACATGCTCCAGAGCGCCCTGGCGCCCTCGCCGGACGGCTGGCTCTCGCCGAAGTTCCTCCAGAGCGTGGTGGTGCTGCAGGCGTGGCAGCAGCTGCAGGCCCTGGGGGCGGCCAGCAGATCAGGAGATCAAGAGATCAGGAGGCTGGGGCTGAACTTCGGCCTCAAGAGCTTCTGCTTTATCGTGTGCGCCGCCAGCTTGATACTGTTGCTCGAGGTGCTGGGGGATCCCGTGGATCTGCGAGACGGGCGGATCGAGACAAACATGGGCTACATTGACCTGTTTCTGCTGATCTACTGGCTGATCGAGACAGTGTGTACTGTTGGGTTCGGGGACTACTCTCCCAAGACGCTGCCCTCGAAGGCGGTGATGATAGTTTGCATGCTGTCGGGCGTCACGGTGTTCACCCTGCAGCTTGGGAACCTGCTGAGCATCATGGCGCAGGAGCGCCAGGGCGCAGGCAGCTTCCGCAAGAGCTACGGGAAGGCCCACGTGGTGCTCCTCGGCGGCGGCGTGCACCAGATAGACGAGACCTTCCTGCTCGCCTTCCTCGAGGAGCTCTTCCACGAGTCCTACAGGAACACCTGGCCAGAGCTGGTGGTGCTGACCCTGGGGGCCGAGAGGGTCATCAAAGTGAAGGGCCTTCTGAACGCGGCCCTCGACCGGGAGACGAGGCACTGCGTGAAGTGCCTCGACGGGTCGCCCCTGAGCCCTCAGGATCTCGCACGCTGCCGCTGCGACTCGGCGCACCTGGTGTTCGTGATGGCCAACACCACGGGCGTCCCGGACCCCGTTCGGGAGGACAACGAGAACATCCTGCGGGCCGTGAACGTCTCGATGCTCTACCCGCGTGCCCGGGTGATGGTGATGCTCTTGGCCCAGACGTCGAAGAGCAGGGCGCGGAGCGTGGGCCTGCGCCCCCAGCACTGCTTCTCCGTGGTGGAGATGAAGAGCGGCATCCTCTGGCAGTCGACCCACACCAAGGGGCCTCAGCACGCTGCTCGCCAACCTCATGGTGACGACGGGGGAGGCGGCGATCGAGGCCCCGGTGCTCAGGAAGTACCCGTGGCTGCGGGCCTACGCCGACGGGCAGGGCCACGAGGTGTACGGGCTTCTGCCAGAGGCCGAGTTCTGGGGCCCACCCGTCTGCGAGTTCGTGGAGCAGGCCTACCTCAAGGGCTCCCCCGAGGGCGCGAAGTTATTCGCGCTTCGCGCTTCGCGGTCCTCGTTTCTCCTCCCCCTCCTCCTCGTCCTCCTTTTCTCCCTTTGGGGGGGCGGCGCGAGAGCGCGAAGTTATTCGCGCTTCGCGCTTCGCGGAGCGCGAAGCGCGAAGTTGGGAGCCCTAGCGGAAGGGCGTCTGCATCTCCGCGGCGCAGGTAGGGGGCTTGGTGGTGCTGAGGCCGCTCACGAGCCTGGAGGTCGTCGGCAGAGGCGTCGTCTTCTTTGCCCTCGCGCAGGATGAGCTCATGCTCCACGGCATCGCCAGCCTGACCCGCAGACTGGGCGGAAGCATTCTCGCGTAGCCAGATGGCCGTGTCCAAGCGCGAGGGCGCCGCGGCCACGAGGGAGCAGCTCTCTTGGCGCACCCAGCAGGGCCACCCCACGCCCAGGTGCGGGGGGACTCAGACCTGGGAAGAGGCGGGCGCGGTGGCGCTGGAAGGCGCGGGCCCCGGCGAGGGCAGAGCGAGCGAGCACCGCCCCGACGCGCCCATGCTGCAGAGGCAGCGGCGCTTCCCGCGCAGGCTCGGCGACCAGAGCCTGATCAGGATGCAGGCAGACCGGGCGCACCGCATCCAGGAGCTCGGCTGCCCCGATGCGCCCCTGCTGAAAACGCAGCACGTGCGGTGTTCAGAGCGTCCGCGTCGATACGCCGGGTGCTGGCTCGGTGTGCTGGCCCGCGTTTGGGCGAGCACCTCGCACGAAGCGTGCGTTTTCGATCCCCGTGCTGAGCTCCGGGTCAACACGCTACGAGTTGCGCGTGGCGTATCGGCGCGGCGAAGTCAAGGATCGGGCCGGGCGAAAGGGGGGGATTGGGAAAGGGGGGGTTACGAAATTTGCTGCCTGCAGCTAGTTTCGGCCTCACCGAGGGGCCCATTCCTCGATACATGGCCGCCTCCGGCGCCAGGAGGCGCCGGGAAAATCAGCTACGTGAGCTGATTCTCAACCCCCCCCTTTGCTATCCCCCCCCTTTCGCCCGACCCGAAAGGAGAGAGCCTACTCCCGCAAGTTCCGCCTGGTGCTGGCGGGCGCGGGCTCGTGGAGCCACCTGGTGGCCTTCGTGCCCGAGCGCAGCGCGCCGTTCCTGCCCTTCCGGATGCCGGCGATCGTGCTGTGCCCGGAGATGCCCCCCGCGGAGGTGTTGGATGTACTGGAGCTGCAGACGGACGACGAGCTGTCAGAGCCCCGAATCATCAGGGGTAACTCGGGTCAGGGCTAACTCGGGTTCGTTTTTCGGGAATCCAAGCCCGAGTTACCCCGGACCCGAGTTACCCCGGATAACTCGGGCGTCCAGAGCCCCGAATCATCAGGGGTAACTCGGGTCAGGGCTAACTCGGGTTCCTTTTTCGGGAGTCCAAACCCGAGTTACCCCGGACCCGAGTTACCCCGGATAACTCGGGCGCCCAAGACGGACGACGAGCTGGCCGTGCTCATTGGCAGCATCAGCGACAGGGGCAACCTCCTGACCGCCGGGATAGCGAAGTCCAGCATCGTCGTCTGCCTCGGCCATGGCCAGCACACCGCGGCGAGCGAGTCCTCCGCCGCCCTGCTGGACTCCGACGTAGTCACCCTGTACAGGATCGTCAGCCAGCTGGCGCCGCCGACCTGCGACATGGTCTTCGAGTTCCGGCGCGCCCGGAGCTTCCGGCTACTGCCCCGCGAGAAGGGGCCTGCGGAGGAGGTGCGGCGGACGCCCACGCTGGCCACGCCCCAGCGCCAGGCCAGGAGGAGGAGGAGGAGAAGGAGGTCGCGTTTCATGTATGGCCAACGTCAAGGAGGGGGAGGAGGAGGAGGAGGAGGAGGAGGAGGAGGAGGAGGAGGAGGGAGGAGGAGGAGGAGGAGGAGAGGAGGAGGAGGAGGAGGAGGAGGAGGAGGAGGTCGCGCTTCATGTATGGCCAACGTCAAAGAGGAGGAGGAGGAAGAGGAGGAGGAGGAGGAGGTTACGCTTCTATGTATGGCCAACGTCAAAGAGGAGGAGGGGAGGAGGAGGAGGAGGAGGAGGAGCAGGAGCAGGAGGAGGAGGAGGAGGAGGAGGTCG